GCGTTGTAAACTTCCGGTGAAGAGCGGTTGCAACGTTGCTACTGCGATTGAAACGTTACGGATACTTTAAAAAATTACCATGTATACAAATATTGTATTTTAATAAAATTAAATTTACTAATGACAGTGGTGCTTATCTGTAAGTAGCGATTATCATCATTTCTTTTTGAATCAACATCAGAGTCTGATTATTCTGACCCACGATATTTGCATCTGAACCAATATCAAAATCTGTTTCAAGATCAGAGAATTCACAGTCAATGTTATTTCGTTAAACGTGAAAGCTTTGAAACTATTATGAACTAAAATTTCAGGATCGAAAGTAGTAATTCTTTGTTCAACGCACAATATCAGTACTAATTGACTAAAAAGGATTTGATTTGTTTGCGGATTCTCAGCAGGAGCCTTGCAGTACCGATAGGATGAACCAGTGTGCATGAGATTAGCCAATACAATTTCTGCGTTCGCCACTGTACTCTTAGCTTATGCTAGGATTCACAGCTGTCCAGATATTAATTCAGGATCACTAAGTTATTGAGACTGTCGGGTTGCTGATGTTGCTGTGGCCAGTGGTTTAAAATTATTGATTGAAAATGAAAATATATGAAATGTACGAATTACACCAATGATCATCTCCACAAAGGGTGTGATCTAGATATACATTATACGTTGAATTAGCCTTTTATACCTGTTTTTAAGGTACCGTTGACTTTGTTTTGCCTGTAGATGTTGATCGTCAGCTATAAGTAATCATGTCTTATTTAGTAAAACGCACTCCCGCTCTCGTAGTCGAGAGAAGCGTCGCAGTCGTTCGCATGAGAAGCGCTTTTCTGAATATGAACGAGACTTCAGGGCCAGCATTCGAGAAAAAGAACGGTTTAGAGAGAGGCGATCGCCTGTTCGTCGCTCTCCCAGTCCTCCATCATATACACGAGGCGGGAAACCTGGTGAAGGAATGGCCAGTGGTAAGAAGCTGCCCGGACCCGAACGACGAGATGTGTACGTGTTGCATTTCTTTGAAACTTGAACTTATGCTTATATTTTACATGCATTTTTCTGTTT